AAAAGGAGAGTCATCGATCGAGGGATGGGCAGCAGCGTCCCTCTTTAAATATCACTAAAGCCTAACTGTGGTTGCCAATTCACTGACTGACAATATCCTCCAAATAGTAAACACCAGGGCAGTCTATGGGAAAGGTCTATTCAGCAATTCAAGATTTATTTATTTGTAAAACATGCGTATAACATGCAGATGTTGACAATATAATGTCGTTCGACATGTTTAACCTGTACGGAATACAAACATATGTAGTTACACAGATAGTTCACAAGTCAAGTCCATTTTATACCATTGTAAACATCTATATATATACTATAGCAATAAACATCTAATGACTGATGTATAAAGTGTCTTTAAGTTGTTAGTATATCTGGGATGCGTATAACTTCTACTTCGTTATAAAGCACGAAATTATGTATCGCAGTATCAGAAAGGCCAAAAATCCCCAAAATAAAACTCCACATTGGAGAGATTGATGATTAAAATTGAAATTGTTTTTTGATTGATGATTAATATGTAAACAAAAAATGCTTTTACAAATACGAAATATTTCAAATCTGCAATGCTAGATACTGACCTTCAGGTAATTAAATTGTAGTGCGTTTTAGAATATAACAGCGCCATCTAGTATCAACGTTAGAACTAAAACAAAAATATCTATAACCTCACACAAATCATAACGTAAACCAAAGAAAGACTTTGTACAAAAGTCATTTGCTTGAGCACCTCTGTCCCATTTGTGTTTCTACCATGAAGCAGTTGTGTTTGCATGGCTGTGTTTCGGTTTGAAGGGTGGGATATGGCAGTGAATTTACAGACTACAGAAGAAGTGTCACACCTGAGTCCTCAGGAATGGCAACGCATGGTAGGTATCAAGGGCAAAACAGTATACTCTATTATATCCATGGTACTGCTCATGTCTATAGGCGACGGTTACTACTTTCCATCAGGTGGGCCGTCAGCTTGTATGACATTCTAAGCTGCATAAAAAAAACCTTTACTGATGTACAAATATATAAACAATCAATCTATAAATGCAATAGTGGCGCCCTCAACACATTGCATATACATATTAGTGCCTTGTGTTATTAACATTTTTTTTTTAATTCCTGACTTTTATTTTTAAGCAACTTTAAAAAAAAGGTGTTTTTTATTTCGTCTGGATTTTTTAGAACGTATAATTGCGTGTTTTTATATAGATTTTGCTTCCCGTACAGTTTTTATAACAGTTTTAATAGACCAAAATACAAAGAAAATAATGAAGAGCCGGAGATTCGAGGGGTCGCCCCAGGAGCCACTCATCAGTATCTAAAGAGTCGCATCAAATTTACTCGGCCCTGGTTACTCGATGACCTTTTTTCCACGTCGAGAGACGCCAAAGTGGGACGAAAAATTTGTCCCTGGAGGACAAACTTTTCACGCGTACGCCGACCCTGGCAGTACCAGCAATTACGTATTTACTCTAATAAAACATCTATCTTCACGTCAACTCCCTACGGGGTAGGCAGAGAGAACCGAGTGCAAAAGATCTTATTAAAAGTAAAACATACAAGTGTAAAAGCAGCCTTGCACGAATTAATTCGAAGAGCTCTCCCTGACACCTATTAAGTTTTTGAATGACAAAGTCGGCGATTCATTAGGAAATGAATATGCAAAACTGCGGAATACGAAGATGCCAGACTAATGATGTTTGCACAGAAGCGGGGAGAAAAACTCATTGCACGATGCCAAAGTGTTTCAGAGATATAAGATGCGTTCTGTGGCATAGACTAGTCGCTTTTATTGCGTACGAATAAATTTCAAAATTGCTAAAAAAAGACAAACTTTTTAAATAATCAAAAGGAATGTTATTGCTTCGACTCTTTTCTGTGTTTATTTTACGCGATATCTTTGGTATTTCTCAACTGATTTTGTATGACATACATACATATCTGTCACGCTTGTCTCCCATTAGGGTAGACAGAAACAATAGAACGCCAGATACTTCGATTCAAACGTTATATGAGAGAGACCCATTTTTAGCAATAAACAATGTATAAGTTGTAATAATGAAAAAAATATCATAGAGTGATCATAATTATTTATAACTATTCTATAATGCGTCTTTATATCATGATGTAAGGATGGAGGTTTGTTTGAATCGAAGCATTTGGCGTTCCATTGTTTCTGCCTACCCTAATGGGAGACAGGCGTGACAGTAATGTGTGTGTGTGTGTGTAATTATAGAATTTGTGCTTAAATTGTTACTTAACATGAGCATACCACTAAGTTCAATACAATTCCAGTATGACTTCCCATTAACGAAGACTTAAATGTTCTCCTTTGAGAAAGTTAATTACTTCGAAGTTCGTTTTGAAAGATATAAAGAGAGTATATATACATATATGTACAGTACATTATATTAGATGTTCATAATGTGAATAAATTTAGAAGTTATTTCCATATGAAAAGACCGTTCTACACACCAAGAGTATCTGCGAAAGGTCTAATGTTATGTATGTATATTTCAACTAAAACTTAGACTTCTGACGCGATCGACTTGAGGCAATATTGAAATCTCATCGTATAGACGTCAAATGAAACAATGTTAACGTTTATTTGACGTTTATTCGATTTTACACTTTTATCTTGTAATCCTCACGATCTTTATACTAAAGGGAGAGTGAGTGTATAAAAGTTGTCTATATCTCTATATCTCTTGGCCGTATGGTCCCGGCATAGAATAAGCCACCCCTTCCTATCCTGTGAGCGTCGTAAGAGGTGACTAAGGGACAACGAAGGATGGGCAGCAGCGTCCCTCTTAAAACATCTCTAATGCCCAACTGCGGTTTCAATTTGTCTGCCAAGCGTGGCAACTACTGGCAAAACCCCGCAATGGGGATGTTTATGTACAGCAGTGAACGATTAAGAGCTGATGATGATGATGATGATATGAATATCTCAATCCCGCTCAAGTTTCTGCTGTAAAGCTTGCATAGCTGTGTTTCGTTTGAAAGACATTGAAATTACAGGATACGGAAGTACACAATCGAACTAAGATCGAATCGAAATTACATTCATTCACAGAAATTGATTATACAACCATTAAGTAGATAAAAATCTTGAAAAGAGAGGAAACTATCTACTTCATAAGTACAATGATCACGCCCATTTGACGTCTAATCAATGTTATTTCAATTGCATCTTAAATCTATTGTGACAAAAGATAAATTACTGGGTAAGTAATATATAATTCGATAAACAGCAAATCGCTAAATCGCGATTTTTACCCGATATATGGAAGACTTAAGCGTGTAAGGGACATATTTGATGCATAAATACTATGTTATATCCGTTCTATCACCAAACTGTAACTACACAATCTAAATTCTAAGCTATCTGCATAGAGTGCAAGTTATAGCTAAGCCATGGCCATTACGGGCCACGTAATGGCTCGGTATTGTACGCTCGTAACTGGTAGACTATGCAGTAGACCCTAAATTAATTGAGAAATTATTCATGTATTTTGGCGGCATAACGTTCCAATTTTTTCCAATCAGCCCTAAGTTGAAATTCCCAAACAAATTTTTTGTCATTTCTCAATACAAATTTACCAGAGGGAGACTTTGTACAAAAGTTGTTTGTTTGAGCACCTCTGTCCCATTCGTGTTTCTACCGTGAAGCAGTCGTGTTCACATGGCTGTGTTTCGATTTGAAAGGTGGGATATGGCGTGAATTTACAGGGTACAGAGGAATAACACCTGAGTCCTCAGGAATGGCAACGCATGGGGTGTATCATGGGCGAAACAGTATATTCTGTTATGTCCATGGTACTGCTCATGTCTATAGGCGACGGTTACCACTTTCCATCAGGTGGACCGTCAGCTTGTTTGCCATTCTAAGTTGTATAAAAAAAGTCACAATATTAAGCCAGCCAGGTGGAGTTTGCCAGTAGTTGCCAAACTTAGCAGGCATGTACTGGAAAGGAAAGGATGGCCTATTCTACGGGACTACATGACAACCTGTAATTACTATAATAATATAATCTTAATAAATAATTCAACGTAGAATTTGCATCTCAAGTCAGTATGATAAACCTAATAACTGATCAGCTATTTGCGTTCATTGTTATAACTATGGACACATATAGTACAATACTATAAAAGCCCGAGTGAAAGCTTTTAAACGAAACATAGTTAATCTTGGTTACAATGACAGGCAAGGGCTAAACCAGCTTCCACCTCCATGCAGATGGCGCTGTAATGGCTCGACGGTAATTTATTGGTAAAGTTTTATACCGGTATTGAGATAAATGGTAAATGCTATTAATCCTAAAACGCAATTCGCGATTAAATGGAACTTAGATCTAATGAATACGGTAATGCTTGGCCGTAAAGATAATACTGGTACCTACTCGTTTGAAAATATATTGTCATTATTTTCATCGTTCAGAAGCATATTTCATAGTACTTTTAAAATGGAAATATTCGAAAATACTTGAAATTTTACAAGAGAACGTATAGTATAAAACAAAGTCGCTATCACTATCTGTCCGTTCCTATGTATGCTTAAATCTTTAAAACTACACAACGGATTTTTAAGCGTTTTTTTTTTTTAATAGATAGAGTGATTCAAGACGAAGGTTTATATGTATAATACATGCATAATATTGCAGAGGAACACTCATAAATTCAAAAGGTCAACAAAAAAGTCCGTGATGGTATATGTCTATCTCTTAAGGATAACCCACAATATCCATCTTTTATCATTTTACGAGAAAAAATGGCTTAATTACGAAGTGATTCATTCGCGAAGATATTACGTATTTAAAATGCAGGGACATAGCGGTGCGGCATTGCACCCGTGCGAAGTCGGGGCGGGTCGCTAGTATTATTATAAAAAAACTATACGTCTGTAGGCTTAAATTGTTAATCAACAAAATTAAAATAATTTGATAATGTCACCGTTCAGTTAAAAAAACTTAAAATCGACTTAAAACACTGGTCTTAATATTAATTACTTACCTAGAATTAGATCTCTTCGAAGAGTCGTGTTTCTTGCCACCCTGAAGATTTGGCAGATCCTTCTGCCGTTTCTTCGTCTCCCTCCATATTCGGTAGTACAGTATACACATAACTGTCACTGGCACATAGAACGCGGCGATGGCCGTCCCGAACGTAATGAACTGGTTCGTCTCAATGAACTGTATGTAGCACTCGTGCGGCGGCACCTTCCTCTCACCGTCTATGTACGGCCACGCGTATATCCAGGGTGGCCACAGCAACAAACTGAACCCCCACGCGCCCCCTATCATCACAGTCGCACGGCGTGTAGTCCTTTTAGCTCTATACGTCAATGGTCTCGTCACACTAAAGTACCTATCAAAACTTATAATGAGAAGGTTCAGTACAGACGCGTTGGACGCCAAGTAGTCCAGCGCCAACCACGTATCACAAACGTGCGGGCCCAGCGGCCAGTACCCGTATATGGTGAACATCGTGTACAACGGCATGGATATGAGGCCGACGGCGAAGTCAGCGACGGCCAGCGAGAACAAGAAGTAGTTGCTGATAGTTTGCAGCTGCTTGTCGATCTTGAAGCTGATCATGACCATGGAGTTGCCGACGACGGTGAGAACGGCGAGGACGCTGGCTACGATCGCGATGACGATCTTCTGCGCGAGGCTGTAGGGGCTGGTGGGGAGGTCGGGGCCGAGCGCCAGGTCGGTGAGGTTGGCTGAGGAGGACACGTTGAGCATGCTGTCAACTCGGCGAGCACTCGCCCGCGCCGCCCGCACCGCCCGCACCGCCCGCACCGACCCGGCTCGAGCTCCCACCGGTTACGTGTCGGCCTGCAACAAACACTTCAAACATTACTATTCACATAGAAAGAATATGAACACGCCTCACCGAAAGGGGAGCGCTTATACTCGAGAGACCCGGGGGTAGTTGCCCACGGAGTCGACCCTGGGGTAAAGGGTAATCCCCCGAGGCTCTTGCATGTATCAAAATAATTAAAGAACTGTATTTATTATTTAAAATATTTAACATATATAATATGTTACTGTAGGGTAATCTGTTTATATAATAATTTAACTATGTAATTCTAACTTTACATGGTATATAAGATATATATTCTTTAACAATATAAAGGTTGTAAGCCTCTTGGTAATAAATTGAAATAAAGCACAAGTTCTCACAGTTAATTTATTTTACATATCATACTATTAAATCATATATTTCCTTATTTTACTTTGTATATGACATATAACAAATAATATAACATAAAAACTCAACTTCTGTTAATCCATTCACACTTATTTAACTATAGCTACTTTAGGACTTCCATCAACAATTGTGATATATTTTATATAATGACCACGTGGTCACTAGACCACTAGACTAGACGACCAGGTGTTACTCCTCTGTACCCAGTAAATTCACAATTATTTCCACCATCAAAGTAAGTAAAGTCCAAAGAAACCCAATATATTGATATTAGATCAATATCCATATTACCCATGCCCACTTTCCATCAGGTCTGCCATCAGCTTATTTGTCATTGTAAGTTGAATAAGAGGGAGACTTTGTACAAAAGTCGTTTGTTTGGGTTCCTCTGTCCCATTCGTGTTTTAAGCGTGAAGCAGTTGTGTTTGCATGACTGTGTTTCGGTTTGAAGGGTGGGATATGACGTGAATTTACAGGGTGCAGAGGAATAACACCTGAGTCCTCAGGAATGGCAACGCATGGGGGGTATCATGGGCGAAACAGTATAATCTATTATGTCCATAGTACTGCTCATGTCTATAGGCGACGTTTACCACTTTCCATCAGGTGGGCCGTCAGCTTGTTTGCCATTCTAAATTGTATAAAAAAAAAACTATAATAAATGTAAGTCGCGAAGTTCTTGTGACTTCCACAACAACGGTTGGTATATACCATTAGCTAATTCGCTCCCCATCCTTGTATAAAGATATTGGACAGAAGAATGATATATCTCGGGCTTTTAGGTGAAATTCAATATGGCGGAAACTTCAGCATCACATCAGCGGAAATGCAGGTGTTCGCTAACAGCCGAGATCGATATCGTTCGATGTAACATGACTGCGTATCTATATGTCTGTCTATTACTCCTGATAGAACGTAGTTTTATAGGTATACTCTTATGATGTTTCAAAATGTAGTTAGACATTTTGTAGAGATCAGTTTAAAAGGACGGTTTTTATATAAAATTTACATTTAGAGAGACAAATAATATTTCACGCCGTAAATTTTTTTTAACGCATGAAAATGGCACGGTAACCTCGCCTGCGCTATCGGTATATACTGGCGGGATACCAGTGAGAGGTGATAGGTGAGGATGAAAACGCAGGGCAGTTAACCCATCGTGACGAATCCAACGATGAATTAGTCACGATAATTTCCAGGGAGAACCGCGTGGAGGTCGACCTGATAGGGTATATTGATAGCAATGAGGACTAACCTTCCCATTACTAATCCCTTCTCCCACGACGTGTATTTGTCTCTGAGGAACTTTTTTGTTTCATATATATAAAACCAAAAAGTCTTTGCACTCATCCTCTTCAAAAGGTCGCAAACCTTCCCCAAAATTTCCTATCGACTCCATCAACTGCTTAACCTGTAAATCGTGAAATCCACAACGATAACTCACCGCCCATCAATCCGGATCAGAGTGGTTATCTTAAAAGTCATACTCTCAGTACCCACTTAATGATGAAGCCCAAATTCTTTACCCATATAATAACCTAATCGACTGCAAACCTTGGCATATGCGAGCGTACACCAAAAGCGCAACCGCAAGTGCTTGGGAATCCAAACCCAGTACATAGAACAAAAAAAAAGTCTTTGCACGAGCAGGTAGATTTTTCGAAAGTAATAAAGAAAACAGCGTTCTATAAAAAAAAGAATTTTTATGATCAGTTGATTAGCTTTTAAATTTATCCATTGCAAGCAAACAATCAAATGTTTTCTCTTTATAATATTAGTTTAGATATCAGATATATTTGGCCACAGCAAAATATCAGTGTTTTGCCCTTTTAAGGGCAAAGCAATAAACTGAGCTGTGACCATTTTGTGTTACTATGGCACACGCATGAAGGAAGGGTAAGAAAGGAGATTGTTAGTTTATATATTTTGTTTTTGTATTTTTTTTTATTTGTGCTTTTTTATTTTTATTCTTTTGTCTCTTTTGCTGTGTATTATGTGTATATTTTTTTTATTGTAATTTGTGTGCTGTAAGTAATGTAAATAAATTATCTATCTATCTATCTATCTATCATATATTTATCATAATTCTTCATGGAGCGTTTTCGGAGATTAGCGTGAACGAAAACCGCGAGTTCGTAACACGAGATATTTATATATTGAGGTAACTTGTTCATTATATTATTAAGTTTATTGATTAAGTTATAATTAAATTGACATCACTCACGTACTTGCTGAAGGGTTCATTAAATGGAGCACTCTACATACATAGTGATTGCCGTAAACAAAAGCGGTTATAACTAGTTTAGCCAATCCATAACTAGTTTTGAGTTGTTAGCTTTAACACTGCACGTGTTGTAGCTAACAAGAAATTAGCAACTTTATGTTGTATGTGAAGTAGGGCAAAATTAACTAATAGACAATTATGGAATTGTCTACAGTCAGCTTCAATAGGACTATAAAAGATAATGAAGTCACTTTTACTTCTTTTCATTTAAGAGTTTCCTCTTGTCGGTGCAACTAATACATACATCTTCTTACAGCCAACTCTATCCCAGGCCATATCTTTGACCTTCCTATAAGACATGACACCTAGTGATTCCCCTATCTGTCTCACGTAATTATTCCTCAGTCTTCCCCTTCCTCTTTTGCTCTCTACTTTCCCTTCTACTATGCTCATTAAAAAATCGTCATGTCGTATAAGGTGACTCAGCATTTTGCCTCTTCTATTCTCTACTATTTTTATTAATGTTCTTTTCTCGTTCACCCTTTCCAAGACTTCCCCATTCGTTACTTTTTTGTCCAACTTATACTTTCTATTAAATAACTTGCAATGTATCTACTAAGTAAGTAAGTTACTATCTAAATGAAATTAATAGGGGAGAAGGGATTGTTAGTAATGCGGACTACCAGTCCTATAGCTAGCAATATACCCTGACAGGTCGACCTCCACGTGGTTTTACCTGGAAACCATCGTGCTGAATTCCAGGTTCCATTATCACGATGGGCTAACTGACCTGCTCTTTCATTTTCATTCATCATCCCTCACTCCCTGGTACCCCGCCAGTGTATACCGATAGCGCAGGCGGGGTTACCATTCCATTATTATCCATTAAAAAAACAAGAAATTAATAACAATTGGAAACATTCCATTTTTTTTTTTTATTTATACTACTGTCAATCGATTCTCGATTGTTTACATTTTCGTTAAGTTTAATTGAAACAGTCTATACTTCTGAATAATAATGTTATTGACACTTTTTCATTTTAAAAACCGACCAAAAACTTTTATAGGCTAATAATATTTAGAGAAATTACGATCAGAATGAAATCTCTTTAGAATACAGCTTAGTGAAAAAGCTATTTTCAAAAAACAAAGAAAATTTTAAATATCACTTAATTTTTTATTTATATTGTTAACTATATATGCCTTGCGGATTCATCCAAGTATTAAGAAGCACAACTTGCAATACAATTAAATATGTTAGATCAATTTTGTGGGAAACTAGTGCCTGTAGTTAGTTTTGAAAAACCTATATTACAAGTCATCAGAATCAATATATAAAGTGTTCTATATGCTATGTTAGGATATTACCTACCCGTGTATCAAATTTTAGTACAAATCCGTTCAGTAGTTTTTGTGTTAAAGAGTAACCAACATACATACACATCCATCTATTATTATAAAATTTTGTATTTATTATGTTATAATGTTTGATATATATAAAAAAATTATATAAAATAAACAAAATAAACAAACAAAGCACAATAGTTCTAACCAGCTTGTTTGCCATTCTAAGCTGCATAAAAGGGGGGGAGGGATTGTTAGTAATGGGGTCAAATATCCCCATTACTAATAATATACCCTGTCAAGTCGACTTCCACATGGTTCCCCCTGGAAACAATCGTGGCTAATTCTAGTTGAATTTGTCAAGATGGGCTGACTGACCTGCTTTCATCCTCATCAGTCATCTATCACTGGTGCTCCGCCAGTGTATACCGATAATGCAGACGGGATTTGCAGTTACCATACCATTGTCACCCATTCAAAAAAAAGCTGCATAAAAAGAATTTCATTTCAATTGCCTCTCACATCTTCACTTTCAGGAACGCGTGGAAGTATCATGCTTAAATTAGTATCAAATACAAAAGTCTGCAATTCCTTGCCACTGTAAAAATGTCAAACTTCTAAATTAATACAATTAAAAAACACGGCCGTTTATAGCGTAAATTTTGACATCTTCAAGGGAATCAAAACCTGTAGGATACATGTTCTCATTGACTAGAATCATTGGCAAGAAATAATGTCGTATGGCACAAGTAAAGGGGCAAAGTCTGAAAACTGTTAATTTGTAGTTACGTCATGGAAAAAATAATATTTTGTTTTCAAAACATTTTTTGTAACAATTATAATTTGTACGGAACCCTCAGAGCACAAGTCCATCTCGCACTCAGGCGATTTTTATTTCATACATCCTTCAACTTGTTTATAATTCTCAGTGATTAAAAAGTTAACCAAATCCCATCCAGCTTTCGCTCATGCTTGGACTTTGACGGGAAGTCATCGTTTCACAATTCATTGTACGCTGTAAACAAGCCATCTCCTTAGTTCCGGAGCTACGATTCA